AGCATTAGAATCTATATTCAATAACCCAAGATCCAGACCACCAGCCCGCATCGAGAGATGGATGATGCGATTACAACCATTCAACTTCAAAGTCATTTACCGCAAAGGATCCTTAAACGAAGCTGACTACTTAAGTAGACATCCAACTGTCATACTCAGAGAGAGAACAAATAACTAGTACATCAGCAGAAGAATATGTGAACTATGTAACTAACTGTTCAGTTCCAAAGTCAATGACACTTGACGAGATTAAAAAAGCAACCCATAACGATCCAGTATTACAAAAAGTTAAGAAATGTCTGAAAGAGAGAAAATGGGATGAGAACGATCCTCAGACCTTAAACCGTTTAGACTTTGCGCCGACAAACTTACGTACAATGCATGAGCAAGTATACTGTTGAAGAACACATGGCTGGTCATTCCAACAACATTACAAGAAAGAGCAACAAAATTAGGTCATATCGGGCATCAGGGAATTGAGTAATTCCATGCCATTTCAACACAAAAAAAACTGATTTGACACCCACCCTCTCCAAATTTCTTTATATTTCGCAGGCAGTTAACATTGTGTGGGAATAGTTTAAGTTCAAAATTTGAGCATCGTAGCTGCAATGGTTTTTGAGATATCGCAATTCGAAATATGGCCCGAAAAGCAAAAAAGTGGGTGTGGCCAGTGCTAAATTCACCATTACCCTATTTTACCTTTTGACCTGTAACTTCATACCTGTACATGGTATATCCATCAAAATTTGCACAAAGATGTATTTGTATGCGGAGATTTCAAATATTGCACCTTCATCTTTGTATCTGCAACCAGTAATGTGTTATGGCACAGCAAAAAGTCTAATTATGTGTTAAAAAGAGAAGGGGGTAAGAACTTGAAAACGTTTTAGAACTTAATGAGCTATCCAGTATAAAGTTAGTTTGACTGCAATTAATACTGTCAACTTTTTTAAACAAATGTAGGAGCAAGCTGAAATTATAGAGTGTATGAAGGAGACGATTGAAAAACAGAATGATATCATCAGTGGATTACGTGAAGTAAGTTGTAAGTTGATGGTTTTAGGAGAATATCTTTTAAACTTGGGTTTCCATGTCTGTCACACCTTGTTTGAATCTCTTTCAATATCCATGCTTTGTTGAAAATGTGGGTATATACGTAAACAAGACTCTAGCTTTCTTCTTTTGTTTAGGAAGTTGCTACAGGCGATTTTGTTCCTTGTACAAGGTTGGACTTTGTTTGTGTTCAGATTGTTACAAGCATAAATACATCATCCTTGCTGTGTTATTCATATTTTTCTTAACTTGTATTTCTACATATTTCAGGGAGGTGTCAGTGGATGATTTGACTGAGCCACCGTCTCAAGTGAGTATACACTTGATTATATATACACACACGTAAGAATCTTGCCTCTAGTCAACAAGATGTGTCCGCAACAGGCTTGTTGTTAGCTTGTCAACAAGTTGTAACAATGTAATTGAAAGTTTGTCAAGTTGCTACAAGATTGTGATTCACAACGTGTTAACAAGTTGTTGAATTGCAGAGCGACAACAAGTTGTTAATTGGAACGACTTGTAACAAGTCAGATGTGTCAACAACCTTGCAAAGCAACTGGTCACCAAGCCGTTGACAATTTGTCAACAAGCTCACAGGGAACAAGCAATGCGAACACATGCTGATAACAAGTTCTTGAAACCGCATTCCACTACTGAGCCTGCTGCAGATTTGATACAGTTGTGTGATGTTACGTTGTGCATGAGGTTGCAAGTCTTTCAAGGTTTACAAATCCCTACAGACAAAGGCCCACCCCCAGAAAATCTTCACTTCTGCCAATTGAGCCTGGAATACCTGGATATGGCATTGCCGTGGTGTTGACTGGGAACAGGGCCGTGCCACCTGGGGTGGGGGTGGGGGGGGGGGAGTGTATCACC